AGGACAGGATGGGATCCCCAAATCATCCTGAGGCTGCCAACCACCTAGTAAATAAGCAAATGAAGCAAGTGGCTTCAAATCCCAAGAGCAACAACTCACAAATGTTCTCGTCACAATTGAATCAGAGAAGTTTAACACATGTAAGTCAGTATGCAGATAGCAGCTGCCTTTCAATTTCTTGCCAATGAGACTAAAGGTTAATGGTTCTAAGCCGGTGACTTCCAAACATACTACAAACTGTAACACAGGGAAGGACAGATCGTGAAATAAACCGGACTCTTGTTTCTTTGAAACCATTTTGATCACTGAAACAGAAAAAGAAAATAAAACCTACTTTCTTCCGCAGCAGTATAAATGGTCCCAGGGAGTTTTGGATGGGCTTGGGCTGTTTTGGCAGCGATCACTACATTGGCACCATCCTTGGCAGCTTTTAAGGCAATTGCTTTTCCAATACCCCGGCTAGCACCCGTGATAAACAGAGTGCATCCTGCTAGTTTTCTGGAATGAAAAAAAAAAACAACAACAAATGTATTATTGAAAGTCCAAGTCACAAAGCACAAAGTTCCACTGAAAACAAATGAGTGTTCCTAACTGGAAAGTCAACCTTGCAAGAAAGATACAGGTAGTATACCCAAATGCACTCACCCTGCACACAAACTTTCAAAAATATTTTTTCACAATTACCCAAGCGCTTCCATAAATTAGGAATGCAGGATTTCCTCATTCTCAACTTCGCCTTCTTAGGTACAGTTATAAAAAAAATAAGCATACCATCTATTTTCAATAACCACACACTCCAGTACAGACCTGCAGTGTGACAGAGCCTAAACCAGCAGGCAACAGATGCAAAGAAAGATACAAGCTCATTGAGACACTATTCCATCACATGGCACACACACACAAGCACCTATACATGAGGACAATTCAGTGACACCCATTAGCCATTATGAACATAGAAAACATGCAAACTCCACACAGAACATTCCCCAGACTGGTGTCAAACCAATGGCCCAAGCCAAGTACTGTGAGGCTCCTGCAGTAACTGCCCCCCAAAAGTACCATGAAATACCAATGTTACAGCATTATTCTGTGTTTATATACGGGTTGTATTAAAACAGCAAACCTCCAGAATTCCGTTGGAGTCCATTACCTTTCTTCTGCTTTTTAACTATGTAAAGGTTTTTTAAAAAAGTACTGAATCTGTGGGAAACGATTTGCAAACACTCTCAAAACAAACTGCTTGCTGTTGATATAGCTGTATTATCCATAATTATGGACATAATAGCTAATATACTGTACATCACTATGGATAATAGTTTAAATAATTTTTCACACTGTTTTCTTCCCAAGACTATTTTCTATACAGTGAGACAATCACAATTTGATAACCTAATGTATCTTCCCACATGCTTCATATACTGTAGACTAACAACACTTAAGAAAAGCTTTAAGCTCTAAACGTCCACGGCACGTAATTCTGCTTATCAAAAACAGTTAGATGTCTTAGAATAGAAATATCAAAATACATGTCTCAGATGGATAAGTAGCGAGCGCAGAAAAACAAGAAAATATACCTGAAACGTTGGAAGTATTATACCGCAGTCCAGGGGGACTTTAACTTAAAACTACGATACGCGGCAAGTCTGTAAAGACTTTGTAAACTTTGAAAGCAGTATTAGGAATCTGACATCACATGTAATATTGTGCTGCGTTATAGCAGCTCACGCTGCCTGTAGTTAAAACGAGACCAAACATGATGGAGTTCGCCCAAAACTAAATTTTGCCAACCACCAAAGTCCAGTGTCCAGTTTTCAAGGTCGAAAACGACTTTGGCACGCCTGTAGGGTTTTTACGAAACCTCCTAGAGTTGCGAGAACACTTGCTTTGTGTATAAAGTACATTGTGACTGTTTTCACAGCCTTCACTTTGTCATTTTATGACTTTTTGTTTACCACGCACGGATATTCTTGTGTCCATATCTTCGCAAGGGAAACACAGAAAGCCTTCAAACCAAATGCATTTTAAAGACCACGACTGTGAGCTAATTATTTTCTGACACTCGGGGGTTTTGATTGAACACTGGGGGACCGCTGAATACATACATACGTTCACAACGCGAGAAATACTGCTCAACGGGGTTTTCATGCGAAAAACACGTATATGACCATAGGAAGCAGAACAGCACAGTCTCCAATTACCCAGACTTAATGTTCGTTTTCGAACTTCAAGCTAACTTTACCCCGGTGGTTCGCGCTGCCTCTAGTTAAACCAAAGAAATGAAATGAGACCAAACATGATGAGTCCAGTCCAGTAGACATCAAGTTACAACGTCGTTTAACTGACGATTTCTATATGCTGTACAGCGATACGTTACAGGTGAAGAAAGGAAAGACGTGCACTACTTCTATACGCGATCTACACACACTGCTCCCCATTTGCTTAAGACAGAAACTCTACTGCTTCATTTAAAATCAGCCCTGCAAGCATTGCTGCACTCAAAAGTATAATAAGTACAAATTACAATCGCTCTGAAGTTATTCGCTAATTAAAATTTAAAATTGGTTATTGCCTGCTGTGCTGGGGAGTGTCTCATATTTGTTACAGTCCAGAAATGAAACTGCATACTAATTTACTGAAATATTGATCTTTGAATATTTACTGTAGCCGCAAATGCAAATACCAACTGACAACCTTTCACCTGAATTTCTTTTCAACTTTGCACAAGCTCTGAGTTCAGAAATCAGACAAAAAGCTGCAGACAAAAGCCTTCTCCGATAATTCACCTGAATGTATTTACTATTTCTTGAGAAGATGGGCCAATTCAATTTTCAATAAACGCCGAAAAGAAATTTAAAAAATATAGTAAAATAAACTAGTAAAAAATCCCGCTTTTCAAGTTAAAGTTATCAATGAACCCGGGAACGTATTAATAAATGTACAGGATCGTTGCGGTTACATTCATTACTGCACCTGCCCTTAAACACAGATTTCTATATTAACGAGACAAAGTAAAAGGTTACTGTTCGCACTAAATGCTGAAACAGTTATAATATAGTTAAAAATTGCAGCTTGTCAACTCACCCCGTATTCGGCAACATCTTTTAATGCTCTCTGCAGGAACAAAAAAAAAAGTCTGCTTAAGTCTTTAATGCAACTTGCGTTTTTCCTAATGTGCAGCCGAAGAAGAGTAATGAATCTAATATAATGACCACTTATACAGCAAACGTCCGAAAATATCTCCGCACCACCGTACTGTCACAATGCAAGGCTGCCCTTTGCCCCACTTTCTCTGACAGAGAAACAACCTCGGTTCCGGTTAAATGTTACACACAAGTTCATTACAAAAACGTCAAGAGAATTTCAGAATTCGATTTCGAAAATCCCATATTATCGCCAATACTCATGAAAATGTGTGCTTTTTTTTTAAATCAGCACTAGCAATTTATTTTAAAATACCACAGATCACGAACAGTCCTTGTCAACTTGCCAACAAGACCGGATACTCGGAAAGTAATTCGTGCAGCTACACGTCAATCACATACGCAACGTCCTGATACGATGAGTAGGAAATATAATTATCCTGATTAGTCAGGTGAGAATAAAATATTACTTTGTTATTACAATCTGTGCGAAAGGCTTACCCCGGTGTAGCACAAGGAATAAGGCAATGAAAGAAAAATAATAATAATACATATTAATATTGTGGTATAAAGAATTTGGCAGCGTTAACAAACGCACACAGAAAAGATTTAAATACACAACTGAAAAAAATATCCCCGGATGAAAGGGAGATATAATTTCGGGTATTTGACGGTCGCAGCGAAACAAACTGACTAGCAAGCGGGCCAACCAAAGTAATTAAACAGCGGATTGCTGAATGCGACAGGGGGCGCCAGTCACAAATCTCACGGCAGAATAGTAAAGGACGATCAGATTTTAAACACCAGCTGCTAGAAACCTGTTGTAAGGACCTTTGTAATGGTATATACCAGGTATAAAGAGTAACTATGTACAGTATAAGCCGTGCACATGAAATAGGAAAAGTTGAGATTGAAGAAGCTCTTTTTTTAAAATCGTCGGTGTTTATCACAGCGAAAAAGCCACCCGAATGTTAGGAATGTAATTGAAAACAGAATTTAAGTCAAGAAATGTGATGTTCAAATTGTACGATGCGGTAGTAAAATAATATTGTGTGCAGTTGTCGTCCTGGTGATGCAAAGAACGATATTGTTGCTCTAGTCCAGAGATGAGTAACCAGGTTCCGTACACTGGTTCCCAGATTCTTGGGGAATAGCTTACTAGGACAGACTTTAAAATTCAATATTTGTGTAACTTGTGTTTTTATTTTTTTTCTGAACATATAGAGGTTATTGAGAATTAAAACAGTTGCCAGTCATCTCAGAACATCAAGTATTACAGATATAGATTAGTGTAAAGTCTGTTATTTATCATTCTTTTGCATACAAAATTAAATAATTTTAGTCTTGTTGAACAGATTAACACATAGAAGATATTGACATTGACATTGATATTGAGATAGCATTGACAACCTTTTTTTTCAAACCCAACTGAAAAGGGAATTACACTTATAAAAAAAACGTGAGGCAATCATTTACATAAATGGTTACACATGTTGGTATTCACTCTACACTGTGAACTACAGTGACCACACAATGGTACATCTCATGAGCAGTAAGTCAGGATGGTAACCTGGAGTTGATCGTCCTAGTGCCATTAAACCCATTTTGCTTCATCTTTTTATTTGAGATGTTCAAGTGTAGAACTGCATCAACTTTCATTGGCTGCAAAGGATCAAGTAAAGGTTAATTCCACGCTGAAAAGTTAAAAGAAGTTCAAGTTCAAGTTCAAGAAGAACCACAGCATTTCAGCTGTTGAACCTCTGTGAGGTGTGAAGGGGTACACACTTCTCAGGGCAACCTGAAGAAGACTCAACAGCTAAGATACTTTATTGCGGTTCGGTGATGTGGAGACTGTTGTCCTTGTACAGGTTCTCCAACCACAGCCGTGGAACTCTGTAGTTCTCTGAGGATGGTAACTTGGTCACTTCTCTGACTAAGTTCCTTCTTGCCCGGATGCTCCGTTTTATGAGGACAGCCTGCTCTTGGGAGAATCTGGGTGGTTTCATATTCTTTCAGTTTCCTAATGAAGGATCTGACTGTACTCCTGGGAACTTTCAATACCCTAGTTTTGTTTTATGCCCCTGCCCAGAGCTATGCCTCCTCACAGTTCTATAAACACTTTTGTACAGGCAGCTCCTTTGTCTTCATGGGAAAGTTTCTGCTCTGACTTACACTGTCAGATGAAGGATAGACAGGTGTATCTCTCGGGGAATCATGTCAACCACTTGAACTGACCACAAGTAAGCTCCATTCATGTTTTAGAGTAATTGCACAAGGAAATAAGGTGCACCTGAGCCCAATTTGGGGTATTATAGCAAAGAAGGTGAATACATATTAAATCAAGGCATTAGAGTGTTCTCAATTAGAATTAGAAGGGAGTGAATACTTTCTGAAGACATTGTATTTTCTTTCTTAAAATGTGTAATGTATTTTTATAAGTGGCTTTGTATTTTTATTACTGGTTACATCTGTGCCTGCAATCAAAAGGTTATGTTTTATGATGCAGTTTAGTCTTTTCAGGATAGGCAAGTTTATTCCACCTATGAAGTGTCAGACAAATGTTTATAAATCATTAAGAATCGACCCCTAGAATACCAATTGTTATGATATAAACTTATTAAAGCATTTGGAGTTGCTAATGAAGGTATTTAATATTGTATTGGCAGGTATACATAAACTCTATAAATACTGTAAGATACGTATAACAATAGAGTGTGTATGGACTACAGACATTTTAACCTCATAAACTGGGAAAATGAATAATACATTATAAATCTCGGAGGCAGTTTTAAATGTGGATGTGCACTATGTGCTGTATGTATATGAGAATATATATAGATTTAATGTATTTTATTTATTCGCTTGAAGGTGATAACACAAGCCTTTTATTTTTCTTCTTTGAGCTCTGAGTTAAAAGACAAGCTTGAATCTTCAAAAGGCTGGTTGGATTTACTTTGTAAAAGGAGCTGATAAGGGATGAAATAGACTACATATATTTTTACCTTCAGTGCATATGTAAGCTTTGTTACTTTGTTGCCTAAGGTAACATTTAAGATACAGTTGAAGCTGGAATCAGAGATTAAAATTTATAGCCGTCTTTTTCAAAAAAATTTTTTGATGCTTTTTTACTTTGTGGTATATGGGATTTCTGCAATTCCATTAACATTTCTACAAGAAAGCACTGATATATCCCTTATAAATTAAATTTTCCCAATAAACCACCGAGAAGCATGAACAGCCAAGAAGGACAAATCAATGCTCGCTATACTCTGAACCTCAGAATTGGAAAAAATATGAAGTAATAGATTAGAATAGCATGCATTATTGTTCAAAATATATATAACTTGCATATATGGCATTTTTTGAAATAAATTAATTACCATATACTATTGTAAAGTATAGTGTGATCTATATATGTGTATCAATTACCAACTACTTTGAATCTGTACATTACATCTACAGATGTAGATGGTAGAAAACCAAACTGATATCCTTAAACCAAAAAATAGTTTTTTTAATTTTCTTTTTGCACAATCCAATGTATACATACTCATATTATATTTTCAAACATAGAGTATATCTAAAACACAATGTTTAATTAAAACATAACATATAACCCTCAGAAAATTTAAATGAATCGCATTTATAAAAGCAGAATGTAACTACACAACCATTAATTCACACACAGGCTTGTATTTACATTCAAACTAGTTGTTTTGAATGGTAAACATTTACAGTACTCTCCAGCTGTGAAATAAATGTCAAGGTGTAATGAGCATTATTTTCCTTTGTGGGTTTTGCAATAAAAGGAGCTCAAAACTGCATGTTGCGAGTACGAAACGGTATAGGAAATGATTTCATTGACTTTTATTGTAGTGACCATGGATTGGGAGCCTCTGGGTTACTGCAGACAGCAAGTCTCCTGTGATATAAAACTTTGCAATTTACTGTAACACAGTGGGTGATCATCTGCTTCTTATTCCAGTGACATGGAAATGTCACTAATTTTCTCCTTCGTGATGTCCATGATGTGCTGCTGCTGGGCACTTGGTCAAATCACTTACATACTACAATCTGAGAGTTCATCAACCATAAAATGCAGTACCACCCATGGCTGCACTAGTGCAGAGGACATTAATGATGGAAAATGCCCCCAATGCTTAGATTTAATGGCTTTAGTTAAGTCCAGGTTCATGCTAAGCATCCAAGGCAGTGGTGTTAGAGATAAGTACTATCTGGGAAAATGTTTTCTACCTCCCATAACAGCTCCTCATTCTGTACATGGTTCATAATTACCATTAATGGGAAAAGCAGTCTTCACAATATCTCTGCATACCGAGGATCCAGTGCTTGACAATATGAAACATCACATCATCAAGCATCATATTACAGCCTTTGCTTGCAATCGTGGTGGTAGATTTGTTTTCTGATAAGTGAATATCCAGGCTGACTGTTCCATTATTCTGAAAATGCTAATGCTAATGATTTTTTAAATTCAGAATTTTACTCTGAAGTTAAATATTAGAGTGTCCCAGTCATCTAAAAAGCCTTGCATTTAGCAGAATTTTAAATTGTGCTGAAGTGACATGTTTCAATTGTCACTTTGTGATGACTGAATGGGATAATGCTGGATGCATTAATTCCATGTCATGTGAGATTCATTCAACATATATTTGCATATGATTAACATGTAGTGGTTTGCAAAACTGCAGGAAACTACATTAAAGCTGGTCAGACTAGTGACACAGGCTTTGTGGTGCTTTTACAGATTTTAGAGATAACAATTTCTGGTTCAAGACCTCCATAAAACACTTCAAGGACAAAGGCAAACAAAAAAGCCCAGCAGCCAGGAGGCATTAATCTGATAGCTGGCAGTTCCCATAATTTTTATTTCATTTTTTTTACTCACTGCTGTGGTTTACACTGAGCATAGAAAATATTCCATACTGTCCCCTGTATTTATTCATACCACACATGAAAATGAGAAAGAAAACTTGACAGAAATATGTTTAAATTGAATAATATCTGGCGTCACAAAAAAATAAAAATGCATTTCTCGGAGCAAAGTCAAATTTTTCTTAAATACTCTTAAGTCCAGAAAATATGAGGGTCAGGGCAGCATGATGGCAGAGTGGTTGACACTGCTTCCTCGCTGCACTGGGGCACTGGGTTTAGTTACTGGGCTGTAATTTGTGTGGAGTTTGTATGTTCGGTATTTGTATTTGCGTGACTTTCTTCCAGCTGCTCTAGTTTCCTCCCACAGCCCAAATACATGCTGTCAGGTTCATTGTCTTCTTGGAAAATTGGCCCTGATGTGAGTGAGTATGTCTGTGCCCAGCGAATGATT